TTTATTGCATGTGCCCGCAAAGCTTGGTGCAGAGAATCAGACACATTTCCCAAAAGTGAGACATATTGGGAAGTCCCCGTTTACCTTCCTGGTATACAGCCCCATATGTTTGCTTCTTAGTCCTGAAAATCAATAGCTGAACTCTCATTGATGTCTAGGCCATTGTAGTAAATAAAGAAGGAGGGAGGCTTCTGATAGCTGAGAGGAAATTGTCATTTGAAGTGGTGCAAGCACAGCCTGGGGCTGAGCCTTGGCCTACATCCTGCCCAAGTGGAGGAGCAGTGCCCCATTTAACATCTGGTAGAAGTAAAGGACGTAACTCCTGCCACAATGACTTATTTCCTTGTATTTGATACTGTCAATCCTTGAGAAATGTTTTCTTTTGTTCTCCCTGAGCAAAGGCTGGAAAAATTCCAAATTTACCTGGAGACCACACATAGTTCACATCCTGCTGTGTGGTTGAATATCTGTCCCCCAGGAGGAAACAGTTCTTCTAAAGCCTGTTGTCAACAATACCTTCCAGATGTTAGCATTTTACAGTTCAAGGAACTTAAAATAGCCTTCAAACTTTTTGCCAGTTTCTCTCATATCCAATCTATTCTTTTACTCTGCCTCCCAAGCTTTCTTTCTAGAATAGCAACCTGATCAGCTTAAGTACCTGAACTACCTCTTCTCCCCCATCAACTACAGAGTAAATTCTGGTCTTCAGAGTAACAAGAAACATACTTTAGTTCTCAGCATATCCATGCACCTTCATTTATCTCTCCTTCTCTCTCAAAGCGGCAGTAGGGGTGAAGATGTGTGATATATTTTCTCTTCCATCATAAAGGTCACAACCAACACTCCTATAATAAAAGGTTAATAAGAGAAAAACATAACAAATCTATTTAATCCAAGTTTTACATGAAATGGGAGTCTTCAGAAATGAAGACCCAAAGACCCAGGGGAAACTGTCTGTTTTTATGCCGAAGTTCGATGAAGAATGGATAGCCTGTAGCCATGTAGATTAGACAAAAAGATATGATTTAGTGGTAATGGACTCAGGGGGAAACACGGCAAGGCCTGTCCAGATTCTTCTTGATCTCGCTCTCTCTGTGTAGCATTCTTTCCTCCTGAGTATGGGGCAGGACTCTTCCTCAATGAGGGTCTTCAAGGGAGAAGGGAGAGAGTGGCCTTTCTAGGTTTTATGGCTTGCTTCGGGGAAGAGGAGTTCTAGTTTCTATGACCCATCTTGGGGAAGAGGAATTGTGGTTTCCGTGACTTGTTTTCATGAAGAAAGAGTAGTAAGAGGCAGAGGGCAGGAGATGGTCAGGAAGAGACGTGGCTGCTTCTGAGGGCTTCCAGTCTCCTTTAGTTCCAAGTACTTAGCATGCCACAGCACCATACTTTGGCATACAGTCTTCTGAGCTCTAACATTGCAATCATGCTAAATTCCTCTGTGGCCTTCAAACATTGCACTTGCTTTTATTCTTTATGGTTCAGATGACATAGAGGTCAATAGCAAAGACCTTGGAGTCAAACTGAACTGGCATCACATTACCACCATTTAATCAATGTGTAAGCTCAGGTAAGTACTAAAGTCCTCTATGCTTCATCTGTAAAATGAGAATCATTGAAGAACGTTCTCTTAGGATGGATCATGAGGAATAAGTGAATTAATTGGCATAAAGTGCTTAAACCAGTGCCTTGCTCAGTTAGTGACCAATAAAATAATCTGTTATTACTCTGTCCGCTATTGTGATACTCTTCTCTTCTTTGTACAACGACTACATCTCTAGTTTCCATTTTAGGGTCTCCTTGTGAAAAACCACTCCAGATTCAAAAGATTGAGTTTAATCTCTATCTTCTGTGCTTTCCTGGAGTTTTGTAAAGTAAATCTTCACCTGACATTATGGATAGGTTCTTGGAAACTACAACTTCAAATGAAACGACATAACTAAACCATTTTTTTCTCATCAACGTTATAATGAAATGACATTGATGAAATGATGGCATTCAAGGAGCTGCTGTACATTGTTTCACTTAAAGTCACAGTTTTCAATAACCTACTGAGGACATTGAGGACTTACTATATAATAATACATATATATATAATTGACGAAACAGGATTCAAACTGCTAACTCTGCTAACTGGTCTCCCTGCTTCCACACTCTGCCCACTCATCTCAGTCTTTCTTTCACAAGAGTCAGAATGATCAGATGATGCCCCTCCTCTGCTTCTGTTTCTTCCGCGGATTTCCACTGCACTCTGATAAAGTCCAGCCTCTTGACCACAGCCTAAAAATCCTTGCAGGATCTATCGTCTACCTTTCCATCTCCTTTTATGCTACTTTCATCTTGTTCTCAATTCTCCCACTGGCCCCCTCTTGTTCTTTCCCAATTTTTTTTTAAGTTTTAGATTTGTGTATATTTATGAGTTATAAGTGAAATTTTTTTACATGCATAGATTGTATAGTGGCAAAATCAGGGCTTTTAGGGTATTCATCACCTGAATGATGTACATTGTACCCCTTAAGTAGTTTCTCACCATCTGCTGACTTCTTGCCCCTCATCCTTCTGGGGCTCCATTGTCTATCATTCCACACTCTACGTCTATGTGTACACATTATTTAGCTCCTACTTATAAGTGATAACATGCAATATTTGTCTTTCTGTGTCTGATTTGTTTTACTTATGATAATGGCCCCCAGTTCTATCTAAGTTGCTGCAAAAGGCATGATTTCATTCTTTTTTATGGCTATGTTCTTTCCCAATTTAGATAAAGAACACTGGCGCTTGCTCTTACTTCTATTTGGAATACTAATTCCTAGGCTTCTTGTGTTGCTTTCTCCTTCTCACCCATCAAATCTCATTTGAGATACCACCTCTTCAAAGAGGTCTTTCCTAACCACCTTGGCTAAATTAGCCCTTCACCATCTGATTACTCTCTAGCACATCACCTGCCCATTTTATTCATGGTACAGGTCAAAATCTGGAATCACCTGATTTGTTTGTTTTCTGACTCCTTCTACTGGGATGAAAACTCTACTACAGTGGAGATTTTGTCTGCTTGTTCACCATGCTAAATACAGTTCTTCAAAGAGTACCTGACACAAACTAGGTAGTCAAAAGATATTTCTTAAACAAATGCATAAATAAAAAGTAGATCTTTTGAGAGTAAATCTCTTCCACACTACCAGAGTCATTCGGGAATGACAAATCACAGAATAACAGAATTTGATGCTTTGTGCATATCAGAGAAAGAAAGTGGAAGGTTGTCAAGGTATCATGATGTACCAGTCCTCGCCTCCTCAAACACAATCTGCAAGTCCCACAGTGAAAAAACAAGTTAACTCATGTGAAGCATTTTACACACACTTTTTAAAAAGTTTTAAAACTCCTAGGAAAGCAAGATTTAATAGTCAAAGAAGTGAGTAAATATGAAATGCCTGAACAGAGTAATGAGCTAAGCACAAAGTTAGAGACCTGGTTTTAATAGGGAACCAGCACATTGAGGTCTGCAGCAACTCCTGCTTTCACGGAGCAAGAAATTGGGCAAGTGAACACTCCTTGAATAAAATGTGTAAAATTAATTTTGACTTATGTTCTATACTGTGTATAATAGAATGATAAAAATTATTTGATTAGCACTTCACTTTGTAGTTTAGAAATATCTCTATTTACACAGTTTATCTCATTTGAAAAGACGGTTGAGTGATAGGGTAGCATGGTGGACAATCCACATAACTGAGTATCGAGACACCTGTATCTGGACCCAGCTCTGTTAGTGAGAAGCTGTAACCTCAGCAAGCCACTTTCTCTTTCTGGGTCTCTATTTCCTTTTTGATGAAATAATGGTGTTAGGCTACATTGCCTTTAAAGTCCCATTTTGTCTTTAAAGTCCCATCTATTGCAGTGATTTATATTTAACTCATGACAAATCAGGCTTCTCTTATTCTAAGTCCAAGAGATAAAGCTCTTATTGTGGAATTTCAGGCATCAGTAAACCTTTTCGGGTCCTCACTTATGTTCCTAAAATCAATCTGTTTGAGCGATCACTCTTTTAGGTGTCCAGGTAAACAAAGAAGGCTGTGGTCTTTCTCTGAGTGACCTTCTTTCCCTTTTAATTAGTCTGTCCTCTTTAATGTCAGTTCCAACTGATTCATCTCCCTGGTCCATCTTCCTTGGTCTAAGGGCCTCCCTAATTTCACATTGCACTGCAGTTCCTTCCACACCACCATCAAGGATGGCTGTCAACATTCATTTGTTCTGTTATAATTCAAGGAAGAGTTGCCCAGTATCTACTCTAATAAATGTCTTTCTATCTTTATGGGCGGCTAGAGGCTTTTTCCTATAATTTAAATGCATCTTCTGTAGATCATGGTCCCTCCACCATCTTACATTTGTCTGCTGTCCCCTTGCTCTGCTAGTCATGGAAGGTGTTGGTAGTGGGAGCAGTGTGGGATGTTCAAGGGCATGTATTGGGTCGGGCCATGTATGGGCATTGCTTTGTGACATTCTTTCTATATTTTTGGTATTTTGCGTTTCACTGGAACCTAACTATTTTTCATCTCTTCCACCTAAACCATTTGATGCCTCTGTTTCTTAAATAAAAAGTACAGCTCACTGTAACCTACGATCAGGAACCTATCTGCTTTCAAAATGAAAGCTGTTTTGGTCAGATCTAGTAGTTAATTCTCTTCTTCCACTTATAGCTTTCTTCTGTAACTCTGGTGTAGGTATTTGATATATGGCTATAAGATGTGAAACACCCGAATGATTCTCTCTATGCAGGCGTTTCAGTTTATGATATTGTATGTAAAAGATACTAATTGTCCAGGTGTTCAGAAACACCTATAGGGCTTAATATTCTTAACGATTAGTTTTAAGGCTGGTGATACGCAAAGCAAACTACGTATTTTTCTGCCTGCTCTGTCTCTTTCTCTCTACATCCCTCTTTCTTTATCTTTTGAAATATCAGTTTGGAGACTTAGAATTACATAAGACATAAACCCATTTGATATAAGAATTGCTGTGTATATTTGCTCACCTACTCCCTCCTTTGGTCCTCAAGCTGCTGGTTTAGACTTTTTACAGGACGCAGGCATGTAAAGGAGAAACTGTCAGTGCTAGGCTGAATTCTGTTGTTACCAAGATTTCTAGAAAAGTATTCCTCAGTCAGGTTGATTACGGATATAGCAAATCTATTTTTCCCAGGGTAGTTTCTCTGTGCTCCCGGGCTTATAACTGTCTGTCATCCAGCTATTTCTCTCCACCTTCTTGTTTGCATAACAACCAAGGCAACTTCTGCAAATCACTGCGTGGAGATGATGATCCTGCCAGCTCCCTTTTGGAAATCGTGAGGATCAGATCTTGGACCATGTATCATATGATGCTTCTAATCCAAAAGAGGAAGGGCACTGGGAGTCAGCTCCTAAGTAAGCTTCAGAATTCCTGCCGGTACTTTTCCTTCCAGGAAGCAACTTTCCTTGATATTGTTTTTTACAGAAATATGAATAAATACTATATTTTGCAGCATTGTACACTTTTTTCCTTTTCTAGAAATTCTAAACCTCTGACATTGGTAGAGACATTGAGTACATTTTTTTCCATATCCCTACTTTGCAGAAGGATTTTCTCTGCTCGTTCACTTAGCATTGCTGATGCGTCAGTCTTTTCCTCCTCATCTCTTTCAGGGGCTGGAGAGGCAGAGGGAGACAGAGGAGTTGGTACTGCAGAGCTGTCGTCTGATTGGCTGGACCGTCGTAGCTGGGCTATAAAAGAGACCCCTACAGGCTTAGGAGGAAGACGCTCAGAGGATTCTGACAATATCTTTACCGGAGAAGAGGCAAAGTACGCTCAAAGCCGAAGCCACAGCTCCTCCTGCCGCATTTCTTTCCTGCTTGCGAATCCCAAGCTGTTAAATAAGATGTGCAAAGGGCTTGCAGGTCTGCCGGCTTCTTGCTTAAGGAGGTAAGATTGCTTTCAGTCATTAACTGTATTAAACTTTTGGATAGACTTTCTCAGTTATTTACATGTTGTACTTACTAACCTAGTTCTGTGCAATTAGAAACAGTGTGGTCAGGAGAGCACGACTTTCTAACTTTCCTCCAAGACTAGCTAGATACTGTGACTTAAGACATGTGCTCCCCAAATTTCAGTCCTTATGTGTTGTTTCATGTGACCTCAGTTTTGAGAACTGTTCTTTAAGCCAGGTCTAAGCAAGCTAGTTTTAATTAAGAAGTGAGATGAGGCTTGAGGCTATGTATAGTGGTCTGCAATATCTCCATCTGTGATTACTACTGTTATTTAAGCATCCCTGGAGTACATAGAAGCCTGGGTCTGGGCTTTCTGATTGTATGCTACATCTTGTTTCAGGAAAGGTACCCCAGAATGAGGTTTGGCTCCATCATCAGAAAGGCACTATGCTTTCTGTGTAGTGCTGCAGTATCTTTCACTCTCTATGTTCTTATAAGCAAATGTTACAATGAGATATGAGTTCCAAAGCCAGATCTTCCTTATCTCTCTGCCCCATCTCTAGTTCTTAAAGTGTCTTATATGAGTGTGGTTGAGAAGTATTGATCATTACAAATCAGTTAACAGTTTTGTAGATCTCACCTTAAAGATATTGTTTTGTTAATATACTCTCTTGATTTTTTTTAAAAGACTTTACAGATGTACAGCTATTCATTTGTTTTTCGTTTGTTCAAAAAAGGTATAAACAAATGCATTCAGAGAATGATCATATAGTAGTCAGTTGAAAATTAAACACAAAATGGGTGCATATTACATTACTTAATCTTGCAGTTAAAGGTAAAAAGTCAATCTAAAGGTATACTACCTGCTTTCTTATCGCACTGCAAATAGAAATTACCCCAAATTTTATTTTGGAAATAGTCTCAGAAAACATAATTTTTTATGTACTATTAAAACATTTACTTTTCAAATATTCTATCATTCGGGAGTCTGGAAGTATCTATGGCTTCTTTAAAATGAAGCAGGAGGGTCTGGCAGAGAGTATCTATGAAATAAGTTCCTCTGACCTTCATGCTTAATTTTCTGAATGGAGTGGAGCAAATTACTTCAAGCTTCAGTTAACTTACATATAAAATGAACCATACAAAAATACAAGAGTGTCAGGAGAAAGTTATGCTCTGGTAAATATTTTGCAAAACAGATAAAAGATAATACTAGAGCTCTGTCCTCAAAGAGTTAAGCAGCTAATCTAAGGAGGTAAACTCTATGTCAGCAGGATGAACTGCTCTTCCCTTTCCTCACCAGTAAATTGCAAATCGTCTAGTCCAACATCTACCACCAGTGCCTGAGGCTCCAGAGGAGCCATCACCTGCTCAAGGTCACATAGGTTGGTGGGTGAATTAGGACCAAATCTAGATTTCCTGACTCCAATAACTTCTGAAGTCATTTTGGTTTTTATTTTTATGTTTTTTTTTTTTTTTATAAGAATACTTGCTAAGCACACTTAGCCCCTGCATTGATCAATAACTCTCAGATCTTAGGTGGATCCAGCACATAGAAATATGAATTCTTTTCTATTTGGACTTCATGATATACTTATATTATCACCTTGGAATCACCCTAGCATTCAGGATTATATCTTGTTATCATCAAAAAGGATGTTGCATCCCCTGAACAGTCATCAGTCAGGGAAGCAGAGGAAGGAAAGTAATCTTGCAAGGAAGAGAAAATACTATTTAAGGGGCAGTCAGGGAACATAATGGAATTCAAACTTTCTGGGAAAACCTACATACATAAATGTATTAGGGGCTATGTTAAATGTCTTTCTATCTTTGAGGCTTTATTTTCCCCACTCCAAATAGATAAATTTAGTTATTCATTTCTCTTAAAATGGTATTTCTATTTTTAAATTATTTCTTGGCCTTTTTAATAAAAGAGATACAAGCAAGAGGATATTTAATAAAAAGTAAGAGAGTTGAGCTTAAGGCTTATTAAAAGACCCCCTTTTTCTAGTTAGTCAGGAACCCTATTGTGCCAGGCTACCTATTAAATGGTGGCAATAAACTGGAAGCTCAGTGATGACTCTAGCCTGCTTCTCCTAATAGCTTTTAAGCCTCAAATGCCCATTAGAGTGTGTATGTCCTTTAAAGTAGCGTTAAAAAGGAAAGCAGCAGCAGCAGATATTGTCTGGAAAGAAGCCCCAAGGGGCTGCGGTTTCAGCTTGGGCATTTGCTTTCACCGTCCTATGTTCCATTTCCCTCTGCTGGAGCTGCGCACCTCAGTGTATTCTTCCTCTATACCTCATAGCAGGAACTGCGTGGCCCCACATATATGACTGGAACTGAATAGACTTACTTTCCCAAGGTGCTTCTACAGTTCCCTCTGCCAGCAGGGGAACAGATGGAAATAGCAACCACCTGCCAGAAGGTGGCGTGCAGCAAGGATGTGCATCTTTCGCCGCTACTGCTTTCCAACTCCTAAAAATTACTCAGAGATCACTCATGTTTTCAGTGATTCAGGTTCTACTGAAGATACCAAAGGTATTCTGTTGGTCAAAATGACAGGCATATAAAGGCTTCTGAGGTTTCTGAGGTAAACTGAAGGGTCAGAATTCCAGTTGTGAATGAAGGAACTAGTGTTACGACTCTGCCTCAAGGTTTTGTAGCAAGTCGTAGGGAACCAAAAGAGGAATCTTGTTTTCCTGAGAGTTCATGCCAAATCCAACTCCCATTCCCTAAATTGTCTCTGAGCCATAGACTAGTAATGGACTCTTCAAACTCTATCATTAGGTATCTTTTAAAGAAAGCTGGTTATCACTATTTATTCATTTTTTTCTCTTCTGTGCAGTGCAAAAGATATGAAACATCGGCTAGGTTTCCTGCTGCAAAAATCTGATTCCTGTGAACATAATTCTTCCCACAACAAGAAGGACAAAGTGGTTATTTGCCAGAGGTAAGAGAAAAGGCCTTGGTGAATATCTACTGAGTATTAACTATCTGACGATAAAGACGTTCTGTAAGAGGGAAGTTGTGCTCCTAGTTAAGCCAAATTTGGATCAAGATAGCCTCCATTTTCATGGAGATCTTAACTACATTTGAAATGTCTATACATTTAGTGAAAAACTGCCCTCATCAATAACATATTTTGTCATAATGATGGAAAATAAAATCTCTGCCTTTATTCGGGATCTTAGATTTCTTACCCCAATTTTTTATCGTGACATTCCAATTATTCTGTTTCTCTCTATTTTTTCTAGGGTAAGCCAAGAGGAAGTCAAGAAATGGGCTGAATCACTGGAAAACCTGATTAGTCATGAATGTAAGTCTGACAGCAACCTGGGATGAGGTACTCTGGATAAGACAAGTTATATTATGCTGGTCTAATAGAAACTGCAGCAAGGCCTGGCTTCTTTCTGATGTTCAGACTCAGGAGACTCTTTAGGTCTTAAATTCAGTCTGTTTATAATTTTAATATGCCCTAGAGCCTTGTGATATACAATGAAAAGTTTAAGCAGGAACCATGTGGAAAACCATCTCTCTCATCACAAGGAAAAAGGGAAGAGAGAAAAAAAAATGATAAATATCGATTCCTTCTTGCAAAGTCAATCTCAGTTTCTCTTTCCCAAATCGACCTTGGTAATTGATAGCTGCATAGGTATTTCAGAAACAAAATACTTTCTTGAAAGAGGCTTCCAACTTGGGTAAGAATCATTAGGTAGAACTGGGATCCACTAGATATCAAACACAGATTAGGTTTACCTGACTCCTAAGTGACTTGAAAAAAGTGGGGGAAAAAGGAATTGCTTGAACCTACGCTTTATCCCCCAAGTACCTCAGCTTTATGTGAAATATCATATCCAAGAGGCTAGCCAGTGTGATGACAACTGTGGTCCTTTCTCCTGTATCATAGGTGGGCTGGCAGCTTTCAAAGCTTTCTTGAAGTCTGAATATAGTGAGGAGAATATTGACTTCTGGATCAGCTGTGAAGAGTATAAGAAAATCAAATCACCATCTAAACTAAGTCCCAAGGCCAAAAAGATCTATAATGAATTCATCTCAGTCCAGGCAACCAAAGAGGTAGGTTTTTTATGGATACATAAAAATTGTACATATTTGTGGAGTATGTGTGATATTTTGATACATGCATACAATGTGTAATGATCAAATCAGGGCAATTGGTATATACATATCTCAAACATTTATTATTTCTATGTGTTGAGAACATTCCATATCTCCTCTTCTAGCTATTTTAAAATATACAATAAACTATTGATAACTATAATCACCCTAATGTGCTATCAAACACTAGAACCTATTTCTTCTACCCAACTTTCTATCTATTCCTTCTACCCATTAGCCAACCTGACCAAAAAGGTAAGCTTTTATGGCAGAGAAATCTCTGGATCTTAGTGAAGGTTCCTAGAATATTGGAGTTGACTATCATAACCTTGACAACTCCAAATAAATCAGTTTTTAAAAAAATCTCTTCTATCCAGGTGACTTACCATAACCTCCCTTCATGAAATTTTCTGATGAATCTCCCCAATTTGTTAGACAGAACAGATCTTGCCCTGCCCACTCTAGAGCAGAATGAACCTTTTATACTCTCGCACATGTGCCGAGGAGGAGCCTAATGTCACTTTTTTTTGCTTCTGAAATACGGAGGGTGCACAGTCACTTACAGGTCACTGCAAAGCATATAGCCTTGCATCCTCAACAGGGATATAGGTCTAATGAAGCCTTGGCCTTTGCCCCTCAGGTGAACCTGGATTCTTGCACCAGGGAAGAGACAAGCCGGAACATGCTAGAGCCTACAATAACCTGCTTTGATGAGGCCCAGAAGAAGATTTTCAACCTGATGGAGAAGGATTCCTACCGCCGCTTCCTCAAGTCTCGATTCTATCTTGATTTGGTCAACCCTTCCAGCTGTGGGGCAGAGAAGCAGAAAGGAGCCAAGAGTTCAGCAGACTGTGCTTCCCTGGTCCCTCAGTGTGCCTAAGTCTCACCTGAAGGCAGAGGGATCAAATGCCAAGACTCTATGCTCTGGAAAACCTGAGGCCAAATATTGATCTGTATTAAGCTCCAGTGCTTTATCCACATTGTAGCCTAATATTCATGCTGCCTGCCATGTGTGAGTCACTTCCACGCATAAACTAGATATAGCTGTTGGTGTTTGAGTGTTCATCAGGGTGGGACCCCATTCCAGTCCAATTTTCCTAAGTTTCTTTGAGGGTTCCATGGGAACAAATCTCTAAATAAAGGCCTGGCAGGTCTGGATTTTCAAAGATTGTTGGCAGTTTCCTCCTCCCAACAGTTTTACCTTGGGATGGTTGGTTAGTGCATGTCACGTGACATCCACATGCACATGTATTCTGTTGGTCAGCACGTTCTCCAGACCCTAGATATTTAGATGAGGTTGATCTATGGTATGCGCTTGTGTGTATGTCTATGTCTATATATAATATATATATATAATATATATTTCTCAAGTTGGAATATTATATTATGTCTATATTATATATAGACATAGACATACACACATATACATTATTTCTGTATATAGATGTCTGTGTATACATATGTATGTGTGAGTGTATGTATACACACACACACACTTTTGCAAGAGTGATGGGAAAGACCCTAGGTGCTCATAACTAGAGTATGTGTATGTACTTACATGCATGTTTTCATCTCTGTTCTTTCATACTACATTTGAACAGGGCAAAATGAATTAACTGCCATGTAGGCTAAGAAAGAAATGCTAACCTGTGGAAAACTGGTTTTGTAAAATTCCATGGATCTTGCTGGAGAAGCATCCAAGGAACTTCATGCTTGGTTTGACCACTGACAGCCTCCACCTTGAGCACTATTCTAAGGAGCAAATAGCTTAGCTCCTTTGAGCTGGTTTTCACTGATGGCACATTTGAGCTCCTAAGCTGCCAGCCTTCCCTTCTTTTCCTGGGTGCTCAGGGCATGCTTATTAGCAACTCGGTTGGTATGGAGTTGGCAGACAGGATGTTCAACTGAATGAAGACATGCAGTTAAGGCCTTGCCAGCAACACCTGCCGTAAGTTACTGGCTGAGCGAGGGCACAGAAGTGAAAGGTTACTGTTTTTATCCTCTATCCTCTTTTCCTCTCCTGATCAAGGTGCTCTTCTCATTTTTTCCTGAGAACCTTAACCATCAGATGAGGCTCCTTCGTTTATTGTGGTTGGTTGTTTTTCTTTATAATGGCTCTGGGCTATATGCCTATATTTATAAACCAGCAGCAGGGGAAAGATCACAGTTTATAAGAAGGAAACAAGTTTTCACCATTTGAAAAGCCCACATAAGTGTTCTCTTTTAAGGTAGAATCTTGTTAATTTCATTCCAAACATCAGGTCTAACAGAGACTGGAGGCATTTCTTTTTAGGCTCTGAGACTAAATGAGAGGAAAAGGAAAGAAAAAAATGCTTGTCTAACCAATTGTTAGAATTACTGTTTGAAACTTTTCAAGGCACATTGAAATACTTGAAAACTTCTCATTTGTGTTATTTATGATGTTATTTTGTACGTGTTATTATTATTATATTGTTTTATAAATGGAGGTGCAGGATATCACCTGAATTATTAATGAATGCCCAGGAAGTAATTTTCTTCTCATTCTTCTAAAACGACTGCCTTTGAAAGTGCACACACACGCATCCACATATACTGCATTCGTTGCTCCAGTATAAATTACATGCATGAGCACCTTTCTGACTTTTAAGCCAATATAATGGGCTGCAAAATGAAGACACCAGAGTGTGTGCATACAAATCTCACTGTATTAAAGATGTAGGTTTTCTAATTGTACCCTTCTTGTCTCTTCGGCAATCTTGCCCTTAATATCCCTGGAGTTCCTCATCAGTGTCATTTTCTGTTATACGCAGTTCCACAGTTTTGTCTCTAGTTGACTTCAAATGTTTAACTTTATTGGTCTTGCCCTACTATAATTGTCATGACTTTCAGATTGTATCTGAACTCACAGACTGCTGTCTTACTAATAGGTCTGGAAGGTCATTCTGAATGAGAAGTAAATTATTTTATGTAATACATTTTTGAGTGTGTTTTTCAGTTGTATTTCCCTGTTATTTCATCACCATTTCCGATGGTGAGCTTGCCTGCTCATGCTCCCTGGACAGAATACTCCTTCCTTTTGCATGCCTGGTTCTATCATGTGCTTGACAGGCCTCAAAGCTGATGCTTCCAGTGAAACACATGCATCTTAATAATAAGGGTAAATAAACGCTCCATACAAAACGATTTGCTTGGAAACACATTAATGATCCACAGAGACACGCTATGAGAAACATCAGGGTGTAGGGTGACTTTAGAAAAATACTCATACTGAGGCTTTAATCCCTCCTATGCCAGTGAACTCTGGGAAAGAAAGGACAAACTGAATATTGTTTATTCTTTACTTCATGCCACTGCTCTGCTTGACTCAACTCATAGAACCAAAGCAATCTTAGCTTCAGAGACTGCTAAACAGATTAAGTGATTTGCTTGCAGATTCTCTATCGATTTTCAGTGGATAGAGTTCACCTTCCAGAGCCATTCTTTTATTTCCAGTTAACTGCCTGTTTGAGAGATGGTAGAGCAGTGGGAAATTGAGAGAGTTGAAAGGAGCTATAGATTCTTACCCAAACTTCAAAATCCTTCCCTCCCTTTTGTTAATTCTCTTTCCTGGAAAAGAGGTCATAGAACGTTCATATCCTCAGTAATAGGCCTTGCGCTGTGTCTGTTATGTCATGAGACTCCCATTTCCTGACCTTTCTTTCCCATTGGAAGAGTAGTAGTTACAGAGTGTTAAGGTTAGATGATCTTCAACACTTTTGAGTAATAGATCCTTTTAAGGATCTGGTAAAAACTATGGACCGAACTGTCTTTTAAGAAAAAATTAAGAGAGGAATCTAAATCTAAATTTTGTGTGTTTTGAGGAGAAACTCTCAGAATCTCCCCTCAAAACACACAAAACTATCATTCTTCTCTTATACTATAGGTGTGTCAGACTCTCACTGAGTCTGTATAGTTGCTGCTCCCTGTATTTGATAATATCTATCAAGAACTGCAGGGTAATTCAAAGTCACTACTATTAGCTGCAAGTGTGAGCAGTGTTGGTGTGAGCACCTCCCTCATTCTTTCTTTCTTCTTTACAGTTGTCTGTTAAAGAAATAAAAAAAAATTGGCTGACCTTTTTTCTGAAGATAATGTATATCAAGGACCACCTTTTGAAAAACACTTGTTATTGCTTGTTCTGTGAATGGTCTTTATATGAATAACACACTTAATTCTCACAACAAACTTAAGATATATATGCCAATCACGAGCATTTCCCCTGAAAATTTTTATAGATGGGGAAACTGAGGCACAGAGAAATAACTTGCCAAGGTGCCTCAGGCTGTATTCTGGCACTCCACGTTAATAATGCATAGATTTTTAAAGTTGGAAATGTGATTACAGAAGTATGAAAAAGGAAAAGGGAAGGAAAATAAATAAAAAAGAAGTATCTTGATGATAAAATCAACTACTTATCAGCCCATGCCAAACATGTGGACAAAAAGAAAAGCATCAGAGCAAAGCCAGTCAGATAAAGCGGCTCATGTAATGAGCCAGACTCAAAAACACATCATAAAACTAAACTGCACCATTTATTTAATTCAGAGGCTGAGTTCAAAACATGAATCTGCTTAGGCCATTAAACCACAAGATGACCAACTAAATTATCTGATGTTTTAATATGCACTGTTTTGTTAATCCAGATGTCACATGGAAATATGACATGAGGAAGGAAAATACTGGGTTTTCTTCTGTTTATGATATAAATTGCAAAAAAACTGATGAGATGACTTAGAATCCATTTAGAATTAGAATACAGTTTTCAAAAATTTTGCTGCCCAGCTAACTCAGTCAGTAGAGCATGAGACTCTTAAAATCTTGCATGCAAAGAGATTATTGAGAGATTTGAGATCAGAAATTATTCTATTTCTAAGGCACTCAAATGGAGGCAAACAATGCCTAGAGAGAGAGCTAGGTTTCCAAATGAGACTTAAAATTTAACAGTAGAGCTTGGTACAGTAGCTCACACCTGTAATCCCATCCTACTTGGGAGGCCTAGGCAGGTGGATCTCTTGAGGTCAGGAGTTTGAGACCAGCTGGCCAACATGGTGAAACCCCATCTCTACTAAAAATACAAAAATCAGCTGGGTGGTGGTGGGGCACACCTGTAATCCCAGCAACTCGGGTGGCTGAGCCAGAATCTCTTGAGCCTGGGAGGCAGAGATTGCAGTGAGCCGTGATCACGCCACTGCACTCCAGCCTAGGTGACAGAGTGAGACTCCCTCTCAAATATATATATATATATATTTAACAGTAGTATCTTATAGTATGTCCTGCTTATGCTGAGTGCTTTGCAGCTTTACATTATCTTATTAAATCCTTATAACAAAACTCTAAAGCATATGGTATTAATATAGTTTCATTGTAGATGGGGAAATTTTGATATAGGAGAATTTAAAAATTTACCCAAGATCATATATGAAAGAAGTGGTAGAGCCTAGGTTAAACCCAGAAATTCACCTCCACACGGCACACATTTGAGTACTCTAGTCAAAGAAGCCAGAAAAATAGGGACAAATAGAAAGAAGGAACAAAAGCAAGCAAAGGAAGAATAACAGGAAGAAATGGAAATGGAGAGAAGAGGTAAACAGATGAAAAGACTGGAGAAAAGAAGGGAAGGAAAGAAGGAAAAGACAGCAAAGAAAATGTGGAAGAAAAGGACATGAAAGAGAAGAAGGAAAGGAAATGAAGATACAAGTGGTAGGGAAGGACAAATGCCAAATATGCCCAGATCCTCATGTCATAAGTCAGCTATGCCTACCCTAGAGCACCATGCCACTATTGGCTGATCTCCATGTAGTCAGCTGTGCCTGTCCTAGAGCACCATGCTACTCCTGACTGGTCTCCATGTTCTACCTGAGCTGGGGCAGGTAAGAAGGTTCCCAAGGACTAGTGAAAAGTAAGTTTTGGAAGCAAGAAATAGATACCGAGGCCAGATTCCTCTCAGAATCACTTTTCTGTAATCTTTTCTTTCTTTAAGTTTGCTAGATATTGAACAATCCACAGAGTGACTCTTTTGCTGTTGCTGTTGCTGTTGTTTAACACCTGAAGGAAAAAGAAAAAAGGATAAAGGAATACCTCAACTCTCCTTGATTTTATTTTAC